TCCTCCGATTGGTTTGCAATTGATTTAAGTTGTGTACATAATAATTGTATTATTATATAAAGGTAAAAAAATAAACTTATTTGAATGGGAATTACCAACTGGCTACTATAAATAATAGTAAATAGATATTACTAAAAAAAAATATCAAATAGGAATGAGTACTACTATTTATAGTTGTAGTTATTTCAAATTTTAGTTCAGTGAACTGTTTTTTATAGTAAACACTTATTCATTTTTAGTAATTGGTACTAAGCTTATAATGGAGATAACAATAAATATTTTTCAAGTGAACTAAATTAAAAAGTATTTAGCACTACAAAAATATAGTAAAAATTACTGCATATTCAGTTCGAATAACTATAATAACTTGACTATAATATTTTAGTAAATCTGACTAATTTTATAGCTATCCCTATAGCAACTATAAAATACAGTCAATCCTACTATTTTTATAGTACAAATAACTGTTTTGTTTTTTCCGTGAACAAATATTCCTTTTTCACTTTTAGGGTCCCACTTTTTACGTTTTTGCTTTGGTATGTGTGTATATACGACAGTACCAAAAACTCGTAAGTGTTTAATGTCTGGCATTACCTTGTAATATAACTCGTATGGTGAGTTATTTTTAACTGAACTGGTTCCTGTTCGATTAAGCGTGTAAACTGCCGTGTTTACCGCCTCCGCCCAAAGTGATACATCCAAATTTTTCGCACAAATCATTGTCCTCGCTGACTCTACTATTGTACGATTTTCCCGTTCCACTTTTCCATTTTGCTGTGGTGTGTAGGGAACTGTTAACTGATGTCGAATCCCGTGTTTTTGTAAAATACCCGTAATTTCTTTATTTACGAATTCTAATCCATTATCCGTTCGTAATATTTTGACCTTAGAACCTGTTTCTGTTTCAACACTTTTTATGAACGTCTCAAAAATATTTTTAACATCATATTTATTTTTAATAAAATATACCGTTCTATAATGCGAGTAGTCGTCTTTGAATAACAAAAAGTATTTTGAACCGCCTATAGAGCTTACCTCCATTGGTCCACATAGGTCTGCATGGATTAAATCACCGACATTGTGATACTCCGTATTACTTTTACTAAATGATTTACGACTTTGTTTACCTATTATACAACTGCTGCACATGAATTCGTCGTCCTTGGCCGAACATACTATTTCGTGTTTCGCCAAACAACTTTTTACGTACTGTAAATTCTGATGTGCCATGCGCTCGTGCCAAACAGACAACCTGTTTTCGACAGCTACCGTCGCGTACCCGTTTGTCGGTACTTCGACCTTGATGTTTAACTCAAACAACCTTCCGCATCTCTTACCTGAGCATACGGGTTTCCCCTGTTTAGTTAACATACACGTCTTACTATCTGACGTCAATACTAAACCTTTATCCATCGCGGCTCCGCACGAAAATAAATTAAATTTTAGTCCTGGCACGTGCAACACGTTTGCCATGTAATTTTTATTCCAATTACCGTTTACGTATGATAATATATTAATATTACCTCTACCTGCTGCGTACAGATTCGTCCCATCACCTATCGTGATTTGTTGCGTGTTGTCCAGTGGTTCATAACTTGAAAACCACTCTCGATTTGCGCTCATATGATCCGACGCGCCCGAGTCTAGTACCCACGCATCTGTTGCAATATTATTTATACTTGACTCGCTTACGAATGCGTTCAAGTTCGCACCTATCGTACTGGTTTTACCACCGTGTACACTTTGTAGAAAATTTCTACAGTCTCTTTTATAATGACCTAGTTTACCACAGTAATAACACTTAATATTACTTTTATTCGTAAATTGATTTTTACCTTTTCTATAATTACGACTGCCGTTTCTTCCATCAGATCTGTTTTGAAATTTGGCCGGAAATGCACTCGATTTCTCTTGTTCTCCAACTTCACCTTTGATCTGGATAACCCGTGATTCTTCAATCAACAATCGACTAGTCAAATTATTTATATTTTTACTTCCCGTTGGGACTGAATCCCAAGCACTGTAAAAATGATTATATTCTTTTGGTAATGTCATTAGTATTTTTGTCATAACCATGTTATCCGTAACTGGTTCACCCGCTACTCTCAGTTTCCTTCCTAAATTGACCAATTTAGAAATATGCGTCGACATGTCATCTGTCGACTCCTTTGAATAACTGAAAAATTGTTGTTGAAGCAAATGTATACTTGCTTCAGACTTCTGCTCGTAAATACTCAGCAGTTTCTCCCACATTTCCAATGCAGTCTCACAGTTAATCAAATATTGTAATGGACCATCGTCCACTGAGGTAACTATTATTTTCTGACATTTACCGTCCGCTTTTTGCCAAGCGTTTGTATGCCTTTGCCAACGTGCTTTGGCATCCTCGTCGGTCTCTCCTGCCGACTTTTTTATAGGTAGACCTGGTTTCGTCCATTCGCCTGAAACTATCTCACCTACTTCCAAGGCATTTAAAATGACCTTCATCTGGAACTTCCATAACGACCAGTTTTCCGCACATAATTTTGTTATCTTCACCGTGTCTTCCATGACCGATGGATTCCCGTATACTTTCCTGTATAACAATTTATAACAAAACTTTACCTATGTACACTGTTCCGCCGTTTTCCGAAATCCAGGATATCTCCGACTGGTTGTAGTTTTCTGCGTTAATACAAATATAAAAATACTTCGATCACGAATCCACTAGACTGTTTGTCTTGGTTATTGACTGGGCCCATAACCTGTTGAAAGTGAAGCTTGACGGACTAATGATGTTAGCATTAATATAATAAGTAATAACACGACAATATGATTATGTATAAGTATAATATATAATAACGTACAACTGGACAATTAAACTGTGACTATACACACACACCGCGTACACTCGGTATGACAGCGTCTGTGCAAGTGAATATTACATACATCAAAGGCCCTATATATATGCACGACCGAGGTCATGTTACATCCGTGAAGAGAGTGAGTCTTATGATCGTACATAACTAGTTACTAAATTGTACACACGTGTCAAGGCTGACTACATGTACTACATATTAATTGTATATTTCAACATATGTTTTTTTTTTATTTATTTTTAAGAGATAATATACAATCTATACAATGTAGCATAATAAGTATATGTGAAAAGAGTAGTTATACATGAAAAGACTTGATTAAGAAATCACCCTATGGTAACCCTATAAAATTGAAGCTAGGAAGTTGGGAGTAAGAAGGCAGGTAAGGTACACATTTTTTTTTTTTTTTTTTATTTTTTAAATTTTAATTTAAGAGGTCTCTGCACCATCTTCTTTTTAGCCTCCTACGAGGGTTTTTCGGGAGCGTTAAGGAATTTAGGTTTTGAATCAGAGGATTTTTGTGGTTGTTTAGGCGTGAGTAGAATCGTTTGTAAAGGATTGCAGATTCTTCTTCTATAGATTTCATACGTAGGTCATTATGAAGGGTAAGATTAGAAATGTAAGGTTGGGCCATGAACATTAGAGTAAGGACACCGATCTATACAGATAAAAGAGGGACTAGATATGTAGCATCCGTTAGAGCGCGCTGCAGAACGCCAGTCATACTACTGTAACATTAGAAGCATAGGAACTTTTGTGGTCTTTAGTCATTTTATCCTAAATTATAAAACTTATGACCAAATATTATACAACACAATTTAAAGAGCAGATCAGTTTCAATAAAAATAATAAAAATTTAAATATAAATGTTGTATATTATTGATTATTTGAACTAATTAATTAAAAAAGCATATGAGCTTATTAACAACATTAAACATAATAATATTATTATTTATTACATACATAGACGTATAAAAAACAAAATCGTGTAAGTAGGTAATAAAATAATGTAAATATGGCTTAGCATTAGGTGCTTAAGCCTTAAACTAACTTTGCAGACTTTCTATGAAGTTTTGATTTTTCTTTCTTTGCATTGTCTATAGAATTGGATCGAGAACAAACAAAATGTACCCTTGTTATAAGAAAGAAGTTTACTATAGAAGATGTTAAGCCATCTGCATGGAGATCACATCCAATAAGTTATAGTGACTCTATCTGTTCAAGTTTAGAACAAATGCTAAATAGTACTTCACTGCTAAGTCCTTCTTCATTTAAAACATAAAGCGTCGCAGCCTCCATAGTACTTATTAATTTAAATAATTTTTCCGATGGTTTTATTAGATGTCCATGAGATAATTTATCAATGAAAACATCTCTTGAATATCTATACAGGGTAAAGCTAATATTTTTTTTGTACGAAGATGTTCATAAACTTTTCTACTTTTTATTTTAACCAAAAGGCATTCATAAATCCAGTTAATAGAATAATGATTTCCTTTAGGATCTTTTAATTTAGCAGCAGCAAAACAAGCACGTACTGCTTCTTGCTGACTTTCAGGCAACCTGGTTAATTCATTTTCAATTACTGCAGCAGATGCAGTAGCACACTTCTGTTTTAACAAACCTACCTTTTCTTTTAACTTTAACACCTAGAAAAATATAGCTAGTTAAGTATTTTAGGTAAATAAATTAAATTAAGTTTTTATTTATTAAATAGTCTAATATAAAGAAAAAGGAAAATTAAACATATAATTAGAGAACATGTGGATAATAATATTATAACTTATAACTTAATATATATATTAATAACTTATAACTATATATACATTAGATACTAACTTATATATATATTAGAGTTCTAATGTTCATGCTTATAACAATTAGAGCAATAAATACAATAATTAGTGTTGAAGTACACAGACATACAGAAGCTTAAAGTAAATAATAAAAATATCATATATATTAATATAATAATTATGAGTATAATGATTCAGTATAAAATAGGGTGTTACAAGGCATAATATATTATGACAAAAAAATACAGTATATATATATCATATTTTTACTCAAATACTTTACAACACTCCAAAGTTACATACTTTATTATTAAGTCTGCTATTCTTTCGAGTAATGTTTTTGACTCTACCTATGCTTTTCTGTTTCTTTAATTTTTTTTTTTATTTCTCTCTGTCTTAAAGTATATATTCTCTGAAGATCTATCATATTTTTTCTTTCTTTAGAGCATACAGTGCAACGAGAATCTGTAAATGATGTGCCTGGTTTCTTTGCATCAACATAACCATAGCATGCAACTGATTGTGGGCTATAAAAATATAAGTAAAAAATTATACAAACACAAATTAACAAACTATTATTATACTATACCTTTTATCAAGACCAGTGCCACTGCAAGCTTGTAAATTATTTACTATAGCTATAATTTTTTCAATATCTTCAAATTCTGTAGCAGTTTGCATTATTCCTTCAACATTCACTATGACTTTGCTTACAAACACCTAAAATATAGTAATTGCTAAATACTCTCTTTATAATACCTATGATTGAATTGTAAATATAACATTACACCTACTTGTATGTTAAGATTATCTTTATAAATGATAATTTTTTTGAACACTGTATCCTTGTCATTATTAAACCATCCAATAACCAAATCATCTTTTACCATGGAAATAAATGTGGCATCAGGTAATATGGTACTTTTCAATTGATTCACAAAATTGTAAAATATATCATATTCGATGATTGTAGTATTAAATGAACTATTGAGGTTAGGAGTTTCAGCATTATTAGATTTTGTGTTCAAATGTCGAACTTGGGGTTTTCGTATTTTTTTTATAGAAGATAAGTAATGTGGTAGATCTGGAAACAATGACGGTACTGCATTTTCTTTTAAACAAATTCTATCCCTTTCAATTTTTTGGATTGAACCATCTGCCATTACATTTTCAAAATATTTTATCAGACTGGTTTCAGCAAAATGCTTTTCACACACACGGTCTATCCCTGATCTCAAATCTCGATCTGGTCGTGGAATTGCTTTAACCCATTGTGCTAAGACTTTAGGATCCTGTAAAAAGTAGAATATTTATTGTATAGGTAAGATTATAATATAGGTAGGTAGGTACTTTTGCTTGTTGGCAATCAATTAGTTATATAATATTGCATAATAATATATTATAGTAATATAGTACAAGTATGAGGTACATAGACGGAGATTGAGGGGGGGGGGGCAAAATAAATAATTTTAACTTTGAGCCCTTCTAAAAAACATGCTACCAAAACCAAACATTAAAGTCCCCCTTAATATGTCATAGGATATCCGACTATGATGAGGTACTTGGTATACATGTATATTGTGTATGGCACATCTTAGTAACTTACAACATTATTCTTAACTCATAAGTGTATCACGTCACAATTTAGATTAAAATTATGGTTATCCTAAATTCTAATACTATATTAAAGTAGTATGATAATATATTTAAACATAGTTTACCTTAGGTGCTTTAAACAATGTTTTGTTTCGAATTCCCAATACCTTGTTAGTAGACCTGGTAGAGGGTATCCTTCTTTACACAACGGGACAAAACAATTTCGTGACATGTTTAAGTCTTAAGGAGACAAATTAAAAAACTTCTTACCATATACAAGAATACTATAATTTAAGAAATGCTTTAAGAATGCTTCTTACTAGTTATTTTAATAAAAAACCACGAAATGTCCTATGGCAGTTGTATAAAACGAGTATGACTACTACTCCGTAGCGCGCTCTAGCGGAAGCTACAAATTCGGGACCATTTTTTTTCTGTCCAGCCGGCCGTGATCGGTGTCCTTACTCTAATGTTCATGGGTTGGGCGTTTGTGATTTTTCTTAGAGTTATATTTTGATATGTTTGAATTTTGTTTAGGTTCGTTTTTTTGGCTGTACCCCAAAACTGTAGTCCGTATGTCCAAATTGGCTTTAACAGTGATTTGTATATTAATAATTTAGTTTTTAAACTTGAACATTTATTATTTGTAATTAAATTTTTGAGTGAGCGGGAGCGAGAGTTTAAAATTAATCTTTTTGATTTGATATGTTGGTTCCAAGTTAGTCTTTTATCAAGTATGATACCAAGATATTTTACTGAGTTGGACATAGGAATTGGTATATTGTCAACTGTGACAGGCGGACAAAAACCATGTTTAAGAGAGAAGGTAGTGTGAACTGATTTACTGTGGTTGAGTTTAATTCTCCATTTGGTATACCATTGGGAGAGTAGATCAAGATGGGATTGCAAATTGGCTGAAGCTGTAACTGGATTTTCATGGATCGACATTATGGCTTTATCATCGGCATAATCGGCGACAAGGGTGTCTTGTGAAATGGGTTGATCGGAGGAGTATATATTGAAAAGAAGAGGCGATAAAATGGCTCCTTGGGGTACTCCTGCATTGATTGGGGCTAAATCGGAAGTGCAAGACCCGAGGCGAATTTTGAAATATCTATCTGTTTGTATATGTTACGTTTGCTTTTATGAACGACTTCAAAACGCAGTTTTACATGTAATAAATAAAATTTGATAAATTTATACTATTTGAACAACTCATTAACTCTTTTCTTTACTTACACCACTACTAAGGTATCAGTAACATTTATATGTGTCAGATTGTATTTGTCTTAACACTGTTATGACCATAGACGCAATTGATAACATTTCAAAATATCATTGACTAAATTTATGATATAGGTATTTAAGGTAAAATTAAGTTGTAGGAAAAGATGGAGGGATATCGGTGGCAGAGCCCCCCCCCCCTGATCACTTTAGTCTATATACAACTATACATAAATCTAGCACACCCATAAATTTCACCCAAATTGCGCCTATGGTTAAGATCTATGCTATACTTACTAATATTTAGTTACTGGTTTTCACCTGTGTACATTATGGGTTTTTTTTTTTTTAATAAAAAAAAAAAAAAATATTTTCATACAGCTTTCTAGCTTTTATTATTAGATTAGATAAACTGTTGTGTGATTAATAACTTTTTGAGCACCAAAGTTTGGTTGCGATGTCCTAACGGTCAATATCACCAATACCAAACTTGATATACATTACTACATTAGCATACCTACTTCACCATTTAAGTACACATACATTAGACATATCATATACGTTCTTCTGATACTTAAGGCTAGAAACTAACATACAAATAAAAAACAAATAAATGTGAAAAAAAAAATGGTTTTTATTTTTTTATTCAGCTGAAAAACATAAAATAAATTAAATATAAACACAATTTGGTGTACAGTGAAGTTTCCAATTGAATACTTACAATCCCTGGTGTGGCCATGGTCGGAATGATGTGAGTCCTGCAAATTACATGATTGTTAAAATCAACACACAAATAATTTAAACTTGCTTTACTTACATCATTGGTGACGCCAACGTTGGCCACCATCCCGGTGATCTCCTCAACGTTGGCGTCGTCCCTGCTCGAAGGCTCTTCCATCACCACCACCTGCTCCTCGACCTCCATTTTGTCATCTGGAGCTGACGGTGATGGTGGATGACTCACCCTGTTTGGCTTACGGGGGGCTGAAAAAATAATGATTATCAAAACAAATGATTAACAATACACATGAAATGTACACACTCACCGAGACAATCCCGGGCAAGGTGCCCGTATCGGGAACACCTATAACAACCTGGAACATAAAATGGACGATACACCTATTAGTAATGGCACTTAATCGTAATTAGTATAAATCTACTCACGTCTTTTATTGAGTTTTTTTCGCGGCCCCGCCTTAATCCCCCTATACCGGTTTTGGTTAGGGGGATTTCTAACTGGTTCGTTTTGCTGGTATACGGGTGCATTAAACACCCGTACACCAGCACCGGTAAATGTCATTTTTACTTTTGGATGAATTTCATTCTACATTTCAAAAACTAAACAAATTAAAAAAGTTACGGCACGGTTATTGAATGTTGGTAGTGCGCTAACAAACACAATTATTTACTTTTAAAAAAATTAGTCATGTGCCAAAAACTTAATCAGAACACATGACATACAGTAATCATAGAATATTAGGTAAAGTTAATTCAACAAAAGCTTGAGTTTTCAAACACATAATATTCTACAGACGCGTGCACGTAGTCCAGATAAGTGGATACCCGCATAATATTATATTGTCTCCGTCTTACACGAATGTAGGAAAAAAAAGCCAAGAAAAAAAATCCGTGGAAAAAAAAGCCACGGGAAAAATAATCAAAGGAAAAAAAATCCACGAAAATAATAGTAATGAATGTATTGATTTTACAATGTGTATTTTTATTATAAATTTAATAAATTTACTTATTTAATATTTTTAACTTCTACTTTTCTGGTGGGAAAATATTTAAATACAAATTTTATACTATGTAATAATATAACTTAATATTGGTTCATATTGCAACATGTACTTTTGAAAAAAAATCACCCTGTACAAAGTATATAATAATCAAAAAAAAAGTAAAACAAGGTTTATTGAGGTATAGTATAACTTAATATTAATTATAGTTCATACTGCAAAAGTGCGGCATGTAGGTACCTACATTTAAAAAAAAATCACCCTGTACATAGTAGATACGTTAAAAATAACTAGGTGTAAGAAATAAATCAATCAATTGATCATCAAAAAAATAAAGAAATTGCCCACCTCTTTTTCCTCCTGAACAATGGAACACTCATAATTTGACGTTAGCAGATAGTGATCGTACAAATAACCAAACCGAAGGTTGGAATAACCGTTTTTCTAGACTGGTCGGCCACAAGCATCCAAGTATTTGGGTGTTAATAACTAAAATTAGGTTAGAAATTGCTTCAGAGGAAACCAAGTTGGCACAGCAAACTCTAGGATTATTAAGTGACAAAAGAAATTTACCACAATATGAAAAAAGCCAAAAAATATTGAAAAATCTCTGTTTGAAATCAAAGAAGAAAACAAAAGCTTACCAGAATTTTTGACAGCAGTAGCACACACAATACGTTTTTATTGATTTTTTTTAAAAATTTTTATTTGACTATTACCTTTATGTTTTTGTGTATTATTATAACTTGACTTTTGCATACATAATTTTTAACTGCAGTAGCACTACTTTGCATACTACTAGCATATTTTTGTATATAAACTTTGTACTATTTTACTATTTTATAACTAAAAACTTTTTAATGTTGAATAATAAATAATAACATAACCTTAGCGGCTTAGCTGTGTATAAACAATAAACATGTGTGTTAAACATTTAAAAAAAAATTATTTAAAAATTATTAATTTATAATTATTATAAAATTTGGATTTTTTTTCCGTGGCTTTTTTCCTGACTACCGTCTTACACACGTGCGCAACAATATCTATGTTCTCTAGATCGACTATTTATGATATTACAAATTTTAAGCGAGTTAGCACAGTTATGACAAATATAAGACAATGATGCACAGATAATTTTCTTACCACATGACAATTCGATAATACCTAATAGGTAAATTCACTCGAAAATTACAACAAATAGCACACTATTAAAAGAAAAACAGTAAAAGAAAATCATATTTCACCCGCGCAAATCAAATATAATATAATGAAAAAAATCAAACATAATATAATATATATATATAGTTATAAAAAAGTTAAGTTATAAAAATTAAGTTATAAAAAAGTTACGAGACGGTTATTGAACATTGGTAGTCATGTGCTAAAAAAAAAATCGGAACACACGACATACAGTAATCATAGAATATTAGGTAAAGTTAATTCAACAAAAGCTTGAGTTTTCAATCACATAATATTCTACAGACGTGCTGTGGTCCAGTTAAGAGGATACCCGCATAATATTATGTTGTCTCCGTCTTACACACGTGGGATATAGTTAATTATCGCTCGACGGTTTCAATAGTGTGCTATATATTAATTTTACAGTGGACTCAACTATTATTATTATTGATTGAAAACTAATGTAAGAACATAATCTGTGTCCTCTCGATCGATTTTTTACGACATCTGAATTTTTAAACGAACTATGTGTATGTGTAATGTTAAATATAAAATAATAATGCACAGATAATTTCCTAAAATATTTATAAAAACCAATTACGAACAGCGCACTATTTAATCTGGTCAACTAAAATTTACTACGGAATACGATTTACACTCATTCAAATGCACACGTGCCGATAGCCATACATTCAGGCATCATAAACAACTAAACGAAATTATTGTATAATAAAGGGGTGTTTAAATATTGATCGAAATACAATTAAATATATTCTATAAGTATTAAAAAGTGTTTGAGCATAAATCATTTTACTCAAGCAAGTTAAACAAACATGAAAAAAAAAACGGGACACAAGGCCAGTATAAGAAGGTACATATAATAAGCAATTAAATACGTTTACTTACTCGAACAGCGTCCAAATGTCAAATGAAATATGTCCAACGTTTGTCACCGATCATACAGCCTGTCCGCAAAAAATGGATTTCCCATCACTCCATTAAATTAGATGCGACATCGGTCGTATCGACAATTACCCGATAACGCGAAAGCTTCGTGTGAGAGAGATTGATAGTGACTACAGGTAGACAA